GGAAAAGATCTTCACCAACTCCACATGTGACAGAGGACTGATATCCAGAATATATAAGGAACTCAAGAAATTAGACATCAAAATGACCAACAGTCCAATTGAGAAATGGGCTTTAGAACTAAACAGAGAATTCTCAACAGAGGAAACTCAAATGGCTGAAAGACATTTAAGGAATTGCTCAACATCCCTAATTATCAGGGAAATGCAAATCAAAACAACTCTGAGTCACCACCTTATGCCTGTCAGAATGGCATAGATCGAAAACACTGAAGACACTTTATGCTGGAAAGGATGTGGAACTAGGGGAACTCTGCTTCACTGCTGGTGGGAATGCTAGCTTGTACAATAACTTTGGAAATCAATATGATGTTTTCTTAGAAAATTGGGAATCAATCTCCCCCAAGATCCAGCTATACCACTCTTGGGCATATACCCAAGAAATGCTCAATCATACGACAAGAGCACTTGCTCAGCTATGTTCATATCAGCATTGTTTGTAATAGCCAAAACCTGGAAACAACCTAGATGCCCTTCAACTAAAGAATGAATAAATAAATTGTGGCACATATACACAATGGAATACTACTCAGCAGTGAAAAACAAAACCCTGAAAAGAAATTGGGATTATTGTCAAGTCCTGGGAGAAGTAGCTGTACCATTTGTTGTCCAGTCGTCTCTGTGTAATAGGAAAATGGAGGGCTTATCTCAAGTCCTGGTTAGAGTAGTCTGGGAGGCTGAACCATCTCAGCTAGCTGCCTTGAAATTGTCCTGAGCAGTTTGTAGTCCACAGACAATCTTTGGGTGGTGTTTGTCAGCTTAGCAATGTTATCACAATCCAGGTAGAATGGTCCTTGTGGGGCCCCATCTTCCTTTTGGAGACTTTAAATGTCACTGTTAGGCATGGTCATGGTTCACCACAGAAAACTTAAGCATTTAAAATGTCATATGCAGCAGATTTTGATGAGGTTAAAGGCCATAATTTGTTATGTACATTCAGAGTACAAAATCTTAATTCCTAGTTAACTGAGAGAGATTCAAACCTGAAATTATGTACAGGAAGCTAGATGAAACCGATTTCTAGAATTATTAAGAACTATGACCATTAATATCTTTTTTTTTTTTTTTTTGGTTTTTCGAGG